TTCGGTCAAAGTTCCCCAATGCCAAAATTCGATAACCGCGGTCGGAAAGTAATCTTTCTCTCATTTCTAATTTATGGTGGGGTTAAAATAATATATTCTCACCTTTTTGACTTCACTAGCATGGGATTGAATGCTTCGATTGGCGCATCTGAGTGCTTCTTCCTTAAGATTAAGTTGCCTCCTGAGTTTTTCTGATTCAGCTGTTATGGAGTGTACCGCAATAGAACATGTCGAAGTGAAAAAGTCAGTTAAAAGTCATAAAGGGATGAAAAAAGAAGAGAGCCATAATAGGCTTACCAACAGCCTCTTCCCAATTGAGCTTAATCTTATGATAATTATCTTCGAGGAGGCTCATATTCGAGTTCAATCGACTCATCTGATCATCCGAGTTAGTGAGTTGATATCTGAGAGTAGAGGAGACGTTTGCAAGCTCCTTTTCGGATTTTTTGCAGCTGGAGAGTTCCTGTTTGAGTTCGTCGACTTCGTCGGTCAATCTGACGATCTCGTCCTCATGGATCTTTTCCAAGGCGACGATCTGATTGACGAGTTCCTTGTTCTTAGTTTTCAGATCTTCGCAGCTTCGGACCAGATCTTCAGCATTCATCATCGTGTGAAGCTCGGCGGGTGGGGTGGGATAGCCGTCGAGGCCGATGCCTGATTCCCAGACTCGAGTGTACACTTTCGAGTTCGGTCGACTACTGGGGTCCGTTCGGATCCGTCGGATGATGTCCGTCGGGTCCGGCGCACTCTCATTCGAGTCCGGTGGGGCTTCAGCTTCCAGACTGTCCTCAGATGAATCGTATAGACCACGTTGTCGGTTGTTGAAGATCACAGTTGACAGGTTGTTGGGTGTCAGATGTGCGGCCGAGCTGTGTAAAGACTGCGACTGAGGATTGCGGGCTGAGAAGGGAGTACCGAGCTGGAGTTCGGGGCTTTGGTTAGAATTGGGATCCTGACTGCTATCTAGTTCGGCTTCCGCGCCGGGGGAAGACTGGGTGCGGAGAGTGGAGGAGGTTGGACGATGTTGGGCGAATTTGGAGGGAGTGGAGTAAGTTGAAGGCAAATCGACGCTCGAGACTTTGCTTCTCCTACTTGGTGGCCGAGGTCTTTTGAGGTAGGTATCGCCAAAGCCGATTGGAACCGAACGGTGTCGCTCGGGTGGGGGAGGTTTGCGGATAAGTTTAGGGGGTGATAGTTGAGAGCTGGAAGTGCTTGGGGGGTGCTCATGAGCGATGATGGTGTGTTCTTGGTTGCTATCGAATGAGTTATCAGCTTGATTGAGTTCGGAGAGTTGGTCCTGTTGTTCCCCTGATACGGATGGAGCGGGAGAGGATGAATTCGAGCCGTAGTAGACACCTCGACGATCGCCATTACTGCTAGAGGGAGACTCTGTGGTACGAATACGGTGGTCGGGGGAAGGAGATTGGCTGTTCCGCTCTGAAGGTTCTTGATGAGAAGGATTGGCGTTGTACTGTTTGGCGGTTTGGAGGAGACCGTTGAGGAAATCGTTTTCGACTACTTGTTCTGGGTTGCTTGCAGCGTAGTCCATGATCTGTTTGAGGCCATCCTTAGTGAAATAGACGGTATCCCGAGAGTTTTGAAACTTGGTGAGGATATCTGGGAGTTGCCTGAGGGTGGTTGATCTCTGTCCGGTGAGCCTATCCCTTCCATAGCCGAATGGTTCCAATGCGATAGCGAGGTCGGAGGTACTTAAATCGAGCTGATAGATGAGAGGGATAAGTTAGTGAGACAAGCGTTTGAATTTTCTAGGGTTATAGTTCTGACTCACCGGTTCGGTTTCATTTGATCCAAGTTTGATTGAGTCCAGTGGGCTACTAGGTGCTGATGAGGGTGGTTTTTGGGTTGGATCTGCTGATGGGCTAGTCAGTTGATTGCTTGAAGTGCTATCGGTTGGTTCGGGTGAGGGAGATTGAGGAGGCTCTTCTTGTTCTTGTTCTTGTTTTTGTTGTTCTTGTTCTTGTTCTTGTTGTTCTTGTTCTTGTTGTTGTTGTTGTTGTTGTTGTTGTTTTTCTTGTTCTTGCTGTTGTTCTGGTTCTTGATCTTGATCTGGTTCTGGTTTTGGTTCTTGATCTTGTTCTGGTTCTTGTCCGTGTTGTTCTTGTTCTTTTTCCTGTTCTTCTGCTGTGTTTCTTCTTCTGATGGGTTCTTGTTTTCATGCTGATGATGATGATGATGTTGTTGATGTTGATGTTGTTGTTGTTGGTCTGATTGATTTTTTCTTATTCTACGTTTTATGGAGGATAGCATTCGTTGATGAGGAATGCTTGAACTCAAAAGCAACCACCCTCAAAGACTGTACAGCCTCCTCCTTTGTCTCAACCACTCCAAACAAATTCAAGTCATCCTTCGACATTGATGCACTCGATCCGGAAAACGTTTCAACGAAAATCACCTCCTGATTCCTTTTTTGGATCACCAACAAGAAACTAACCTGCCCTGCCATACATTGATCAAACTGTTCTATGTATTCATCCCACTGAACCAACAAAGATTGATGTATGTATCTGCTTGTATCTATCACTTGACCTAATAAAATGTTCTTCAATGGACCATTCCAGCAATCTTGGTATTGGATGAACTGTGCTCATCCACTGCTTGAACTCAGCCTCCACTCAAGACAGCATTAACAATCACTGTTTTGATTTCCTCTCTCTGAGTCACAACCAGGACCGCTTTGGTGATGGTGGCTTCCCATTGTGCTACATATCTTAAGAGCATCTCCACCGCGGTCCCTAAATCGGGTCCCTATCCCGCATTTAGGGACCCCGGGCCCAAAATCACCTCCCACCGCAGTCCCTATCGGGGTCCGTATTTTACGGATTTCCTCCTCGGTCCCTCTCCAGACCCTGGATCCAGGGATCGGCTAGGGACGCTGAAATCAATGAGGATCACACACAACTTGTGTGTTCCCCCTGTGAAACACACATCCTTCTACAACTCCACCTCCCCCAAAACCCCCTATCTTCTATTCTGGACACATCGGCCAACCCATCTACCAACCCAGCCATCACCATGGCCGTACCCAACAACCAACAGCTCTCCATGGCAACAACCACGTCCCAACATGTTCTGGATCCGAGTCTCTTATCAGAAATCTCAGTTGTCCAAGCTCCCGACTCTTCAGACATTACCATTGTTCAAGGTCAACAACCCACCAAGAAGCCGGCAAAACCACGAGGCAAGAGAGCTGCCAATACCGCCAACAAGACTACTGCCAATCCCTCCACAAATACCACCAAAAACACTAATGCCAATCCCGCCGCAGATACCAGTAGCACCAACAATACTACTGCCAATCCCGCCACGCAATCCAACGACCCAACTGAGCCCGAGGAAGAATCGGATAAGAAAGGCCGCTCGCGAACCTACCTTGAACACGAGGACCTCCAGCTCTGTAACTCTTGGCTTGAGGTTAGTGAAGATCCAAAGAAAGGGACCGATCAGACCTTCAACGCATTCTGGGAAGCCATCGCTAGACACTATGCGACTCACATTCCCAACGCGCCTCGATCAGCAAAGAGTCTCAAGAATCACTGGAGTGACAAGATTCAGAAGGATGTCAACAAGTTTGTCAGCTGTGTCAATCAAGTCCAACAGATGAATCCAAGCGGGACAAATTCAGCCAACCGACTCACCATGGCAATGTCGATGTATTCCAAACTGTACGAGAAGCCCTTTACCTTGCTGGGCTGCTACGAGATTCTCATCACCTCGCCGAAATGGAACGACTACTCTCGTGGCCTTGTTAAGAAAAGAGAAACAACTGCGGCAACCTCCAACAAACGCAAGGAGCCAGACAGCTTGACATCCAACGACCCCAGCACCATCTCAACAAGCACCGACGCTTCGATCGGAGAAACCACTGGAGGCGGTAAGGATTCTTCAAGTGACGATACTTGTGGCCCTCTAACTCGCCCGATTGGCCGTAAGCGGGCCAAATCTGACCACACCGCCGAAATAGCCGCCAAAAAAACCCAGGAGAGCCTGAAGAAGATGGCTCAGGCTCACTCCGATATTGCCGAAGTCGCAAAGAAACAAAGCACGTTTCTTGAATCTCAACAAGCAGCGATGAACCGACTAGCCGATGAGTCAATTATGTGCAAAGATCTCACCGGAGCAAGCGACATGATGAAGAGATACTACACAATCGAGCAAGCAAAAATTATGGCAAGGTTGGAAAAAGAACAGTCTGTATCGACCAACCCAACAAACGCACCTAGCAACCCGACCCCAAACACTAGCAAATAGGATTTCCTCTTTTTTTATCGCTTTTTTTATCGCTTTTTTTATCGCTTTTTTTTATCGCTTTTTTTTATTGCTTTTTTTATTGCTTTTTTTTATTGCTTTTTTTTATTGCTTTTTTTATTGCTTTTTTTTATTGCTTTTTTTATCGCTTTTTTTATCGCTTTTTTTTATTGCTTTTTTTATTGCTTTTTTTTATTGCTTTTTTTATTGCTTTTTTTTATTGCTTTTTTTTATCTTAGTATTGGTTTGCTCATTCTCAAAACTTTCAACACTCACAATTCTCACAATTTTTATTTCTCAGTTGAAATGTTATATGATGCATTTATTTTGGAAATGTGAAACAAGTGATTGGAAACCATTTAGGTCACGTCTCATCGATCAGGACAATACATTGAAATAAACATATAAAGCAGATGATGAGTACAATCAATCAGAACGATTAGATTCCTCTCCCAATTCACTGGAGTCGTCTGGGAAGACAACACCATCATCCTCTTCCGAGATTTCGTCCTCCAGTTGACCTTTTCGTGCCCACAGATGGGCAATGAGATCATCACGTAAAGCAAAATGCTTATCCGCGTCTCTCATTGCGCGATAGTTCCGAATAAAAAGCGAGAGGTCTTCCGATCGCGCTCCACTTGGCCGAGTAGTTTCTGATTGAGATACACGTTTGTAGATATGGTCGTGAGGAGTATCTCTCTCATCCTCCACAATCATGTTGTGGAGGATGATGCAAGCTCGCATGACCTTTTGCAGCTTATGATGGCTCCATGAGAGTGCCGGCCTTGCGACAATCCCGAACTGAGCTTGGAGAACTCCAAAGCCTCGTTCGACATCTTTCCGGGCCTTTTCCTGCATTTTCGCAAAGTACTGTTGAGTTAAAAACAATCAGAATTTCTGTAGACCCAACCAAAAGTAAGAAAACCACACATACCTTCCGTCGAAGCCCCTGAGGCTTTGAGATTGTCTTGATCAAAGTAGACCAGTCGGGGTATATACCATCGGCAAGGTAGTAGCCTTGATTGTACCTATTTCCATTGACGATGAATTCACACTGCGGAGTGTTGCCATTCAGGAGATTTTGGAAGAGAGGCGAGGCATCAAGAACATTCTTGTCATTGTGAGAGCCTGGCATTCCAAAGAATGCATGCCAAAACCATAGATCCTCGGATACAACGGCTTCTAGCACCAGTGTTGGGACCTGCAAGCAACAATAATTTCTTCAGCACAATATAATTATGGTGAATACATGTATTACATACCTTTTCTTTACCCTGGTACTGCCCCTTCCAACCGGTTGGGCAGTTTTTCCACTCCCAATGCATACAATCAAGGGAACCAAGCATCCCAGGAAAGCCCCTCTCTTTAGAATTTGACAACAATCGTTTAATGTTGGCCTCGTTTGGTGATCTCAAATATTGGCTGCCATATAGGTTGATAACCGCATCCGTGAAATGATCGAGGCTCTCCAGCGATGTAGATTCCGCAATACGTAGGTACTCGTCGTTTGCATCACCGGCCCCGCCATAGGCTAGAATTCGAACTGCAGATGTTATCTTCTGAATGGGATACAATCCCGGTTTCCCTAGAGCATTACACTTCCGGACAAAATAATTATCGTATTCTGTGACATCGTTGACTATCCTCAGAAACAGGCTTCGATGCATACGGAAACGGCGGCGGAATTGGTAGTCGTTGTATCGTGCCCGCTCAGAAAAGTAATCCTTGGTTAATTGTTCGTATCCAGCCTCAAAATCACGATCGATGTTTGCAGAACGTCCTTTTCTAGATCCACCATGCTTTCGTCGCTTTGCTGCCTCCTCTCGTTCTTGTTCTTGTTGAAGCTGATATTGAATTGCCGCCGCGCCACCTTGAAGAGTTGCCAGTTGAATTTGAGTTGAAGATGCGAGCACGGTTGATTGCGTGGAGAGCATTGTCTGCAGGAAGGAAAGTTGGTCCATAGCTATTGTGGTGAAGTGATCTGGAGGAATATCAAGCTCGGGGGAGGGCGGGGAGCAGATAGCGACCCCATTGATGGTCAACTTGGGACCCGCGGTGTGTGCCGCAGCACCTTCAGTCCGTATAGCTGGTAGTGCGGTCCCCAAATGCAAGGTTTTTGGGACCCGATTTAGGGACCGCGGTGGAGATGCTCTAAGTAGGATGTGGTGGGGTACCTACTTGCAGCATCTGATTGGAACATCCACCAAAAAGATCAAGAACCTTGCAAGTTCAATCTTCAGATTCATATAGGTTCACCTTTGTACTCAGTCACATTGTCCGGGGGGGGGGCAGATTGGGCCGCTTCTGGACAGGGCTATGAGCCAAGTCTGAGTCAAAAAAATAATAAAATGAATTGGATCAAAGTTACTTGGCTGGACATTGAGCTTGCCAGATTCGCAAACTGGGACAGAACTTGACGAGTCATGAGCTGTATAATTTGATCCCAGTGGCCAGTTCCCTGCAGCTACATCATGTACAGTAGGTAGACAGTGAAAAGTGGCTGCTTATTTTGGATTCCAGAGCTCCAAAACACAAATTTGAAATCATGAGACTTGGTCAGGTGGTGCATAATATTAGGGCGCTGTAGGACTCCTGTGGGACAAATGGAAGATATTTGAAATGGTAGTTCCGTGAGGGGGAAATAAATTGTGGAATAGGTTGAAAGGCTATAGATCACAACTTAAGGGTGGTTTGAAAGACCTGCCCCTCTATAGTACTATACAAATATGTAAGGAATCTTAAAATCAATATTTATAAGAGTGTGGCAGATTTCAAGATAGAGTTACTAAGTATAGTAGTCTCTATCAGACCTAGATCAATCAATACAAAAATGTGCTAGCAGATGGCTCAAGATTAAGAATTTGGATAAAGGAGCCCAGTGGAGCAAATGTTAAAGGGGTATAATTGGGATTGATGGTGTGAAAAGCACCAGTGGGTGTGATCACGTGAAAAGGGATAATAATAGAAAATAATTTAGATGGTGGAAATGACTACTGATAACTACTGCAACTAATGTTTGTTGTTGAATGATTAATACTACTAATGGTTTTCTGTAAATAATGATAAGAGGGTTGTTGGTTGCTGAGTGCTTACTAATGATAAATGATG